ATTTTGTGTCTGTTACATCTTGTCCTTTCAGTGGGCACCAATGAGACAAATCAGTCTCTCTCCATTCTGGAGTGTATAAATACACCAAGATTCTTCTTCAACCTTTTTTTTCAGATGCTAAACAGTCCCAGATGTCTCAGACTCTCCATGTATGATAGAGGCTCCAAGACTTTAATCAACTTCATGGCCTTAAGTCATGATGATGCCATTTTGGGTTTTGCCTTTTTTTCTATTATATGATCCCTGTATTCTTTGAACTTATATTTTTAGCTCTGTAGCCCATTGTATTAGTAGCTAGTTTTCCCTGCAATTTTTCCATGGCCTTTCCCTAGACAGAAAGACAAAACAAATTCCAAAGCTCCGAGATCCCAGTGCTATCTTGGTTCTTCCTGGGAGCCAAGGTTGAGAACAAGTTTTCGACATACATTTCATAGGCAAAATACAGCTAGTGCTGATGGAGGGGCTCCAAAGAACAGGCTTGACCTGGGGGGAAATTGCATCACAACTTGTCATCCTAATTGGTGCTTTTTATCAATTATGCTAATTTCATAAAACTGACAAAAATGTACTCACCCCTGTAGGGATGGGTGCGGCAGTTACCTGCCATGGCCCCGAGTGGGTGGCAGGGTCCAGCTGGCACAACCCGCGTGAGGCCGTGTGGCTGCCATGTGAGTGGCACCTCAGGCGAGAATCGTCTGCCCCTGATGGTGCTGAGTGCTGCTCGTGAGTGTGCAGTTTCAAGAACTCTGCATGCTGAGAGAAGTTGAAGGGATGAGAGAGAACACTTGTATGCCAGCCCAAAGAGTCCTTTATTTCACCAAGTGGGGCAAGAAAGGTGCCCTCTGAATGGGTGCAGTGACAAATGCCGAAGAAATCAATGATTACAGCAGCTTAAATAGGGGATGGGCGGACAGGGGTGTAAACCTGTCTTGCCCAATGGGGAATTACAGCAGCTTAAATAGGGGATGGGCAGACAGGGGTGTAAACCTGTCTTGCCCAATGGGGATAAACCAGAGGGGGATACAAACAATCTATGATAATATAGCAGGGGTAGGTACAAGGTCAGGGGACAAATAGAAAAGCTAAGCTGGAGTGATTGATAACAAAACTTTCTGGAAGAAACTGGGGGTGGTTACAAGATTGACAGCCAAAAGGGTATAAACAAACTTGGATTGATGGAACCAAATAAGGAGAGAACAGGGAGAGATGAGAAGATTGACATATAACTGGGGAGCCAAGTGGTGGGAACTTTTGGGGTAAGGGGACACATGGGGGAGCATAAGGCTAACTAACATTGATGAAACCAACTGACTAAATCAACCCACCCCACAATAGGTGGGCATTTGTGGACATCTTTGCGTAAGTGTCCCTGAGGGCCTTCATTAAAGATCCTCTTTTGTGACAGCAGGGGCCTGTGTCCTGCTGGGAATGTCACGGAGGGTACGGTCTGCCGGTGCCGGATAGCTAAAACGGGGCTTCCACCGAAGGCGGGATGATGCTCAGGCTGCTGTGTTTCCCAAAGGGTTTTATTGAGGGAAAAAGTGAAGTCAGAGGTGCAGGGAGACACTCTCTCAGGAAAGGAACGGGCTCTGAGCATGTGGTCCCGAGGGCGGGGTAAGGTA